TTGTTAGGTTTCTTAACTCTCCAATGTGGGACTCTTTACATTCACATTCTCACATGCCCCTGCACGTGTGGCAAATTTTCAAGCCTAACACGTGGACAACACATATTGGGTGACGTGGAGCACGTGTGGCCGTTGAGCTTTCACACATGGGCTAACCTGCTCTAATACCATGAAGGAAGTTGAGGTTCCACCTTAAAACTAATTGGCAATGAGGAGAGTAGCTCAACTCCTTCATGGTATCAAAGCAAGACTTCGTGTATTTGGCCCAACGACCACACATGCTCCACGTCACCCAATATGTGTTGTCCACATGTTAGACTTGAAAGTTCACCACACGTGTCGAGGCATGTTGAGAGTGTTTGTCCCACATTAAAATGTTAAGGGAGCTTGGGTTTATAAGGAGTTGGGCTACTTCCCCCATTGCCAGTTGGTTTTAGGGTGGAACCTCAACTTCCTTCATGGGGTGGGTGCGGTTGTGCGTCGGCGATAGGGGGTGGGGAACAATGTGCGTTAGAGAGGGGGTGGGGAACACTGTGTCGGAGAAGGGGTGGGAAAGTTATGCATCTAGGTAGACTTTTTTTTAAAGTTATTTTTTTAATTTTATGTTATTTTATCATTTTATTTTTAAAAAAAATTAGGGATTGGATAGTGGGTAGGTCCTATAATTGACATGTCAGCAGTTAACGTCTGACTAAGCGTTGACTTAACATAAGGCTTAAATTGGTCATATATGAAAACCACATGGTGTAAATTTATGAATTTCAAAGTCGGGGGCCCATATTGAGAATGACCCCAAACATCAAGGATGTGTTTTGTCATTAGCCCAAATATTAATTATGGAATTAATATTAACATATAGAAATATTGGATTGGGCTTTTAAATATGATTTAAAATGAAAGGGACAAAATAGCCCAAAAGGCTATTGGGCCTAAGGGATAAGTGGCATAAGATGACACGACACATGGACCAAATAGAGCCCCAAATACCTACCCAATTGCCTTTTGTGTTGTCCAATATAAGCTAAGTGTTTGAAAAAACCTAGCTAGGGTTTTTTGGTTTCCTACTTTGGTTGATGAGTGATCATCTTTGTATCTCATCTTCCATAGACCAAAAATTGGTCCAATCCAGAAGTAAACTACCATCCATACTTCTTGATTGCCTTCTCTTCATCTCTAGGAGCATTTGGTGTGGTGAGGTAAATGACTCCAATCTTGGAGCCTTAGGGTGAAGGAGTCAAAATCAATAGAAACAAAAGGCATTTCCAACAAAGGTATTCATTCTTGAGAAATCAAGAAAAGGTCATTAAGGGTAAAGATCTATTCCCTTTTTCCTTTTTCTATTTGTATTCAAAGAGACTAGGCTAAGATACTTGGTTTAAAATGAAAAGGTTTAGCTCAACTAGTGTAAAAAAAATGAATTCGTCATTTAGAATGTTTTTATTGTATAGGTTGTGGCTAAAGTTCATTTCCTAAGCATTAGATGCATGTTTCCTTCACCCATTACCATTAACTCCATCCAAAAGTTCGTAAGTTTGATGACATGGCCTGGTTGTTTTAGTAATTTTGTGCATCTAGGTCATTTACTCACCAATTTAAGTTGGTGATGTGGGAAAGTGGAGCCCACCTCCAGCATAGATAAAAAAAATTAATTAAAAAATGAATTTTTGTTCAATCATTAAAAAATATTATTTTAGAAACAATTGAAGGAAAATAAATTGCTAATTTTCAAAAAAAACAAAAAACCTGAAACCCACTAACCCAAATCTAGCCCTCATTTCTTCTCTAGAAACCTTCTCATCCCCCACCCCTTCTGTCGATTTCTTTTATGCTCCCCCATGTCCCCATCGCAACCCACCTAAACCCATCCCTCTAGCCCCTCACTCGCATAACCTAGAGCTGAGTGCAAAAGAAGCAAGAGGAGCTCGTTTTGGCTATTGAAGATGATGAATTGGACAAGCAGGGTGTTGGTGTCGAGGTACTTGTGGTGGCAGAGGAGAGGGTGAAGGAGGTCAAGGAGGGGTGAGGGGGTTTGGGTTAAGGAAGGAGCGTGGGCCTGGGCCCATTGGAAGAATGAGAGGAGAGCGCTGGGCTTGTTTGCTAGGGCTTTGGAGCTGAAGATGAAGAAGAGGATGAACTGCGCGAGATAGGGAATGTAGGGTTTAAGGGGTTGGAGTTGTGGGGTTTTGGCAGGGGTTAAGAGGCTGGGTTATGGTTTGGAGTAGTTAGGGTTGGGTTAAAGCTTTAGTTGGGTTGGCCATGAAGACGTGTCAGAGAGTGAGTTACATAGTCTCATCAGGTTGAAGAAGAAGAAGCAAAGGTCAAGGGAGAGAGAGAGAGAGAGAGAGAGAGAGAGAGAGAGAGAAATTTCAATTTTTAAAGTTTTAAATTTTATGTTTGTATTTTAATTTTTTAAAGTAAATAATGTTTTATTATTTTTCAATCTATGCTGGAGGTGGGCTCCACTTTGCCACATCACCCACTCAAATTGGTGAGTAAATGACTTAGGTGCACAAAATTACTAAAACACCCCTACCACGTCATCAAACTTAATTGACTTTTGGATGAAGTTGATGATATGGGGCAATGTAAAACATCAAACCTTGGTCAAGAGGGCAAAGTGGGTCACTTTGACTTTAAGAGAGTAAAGTGGAATTTAACCAATGTTTCACGGTGCACTATAGCAATTAAGCCTTTTTTTTTTATATGATTTCCCCACTCCCCTTGTCTCCACTTACACTCCCTTTTGCTTTTTAATAATTTTTAATCAATTTTGTTCATTCTCTTTCTTATTCTATCCTTACCTTACATTAATTTCTTTTTACTTCACTTTTATATTTGTTCTTTTTCTTTATACATGATTTTCCAACTTGCACTCCATTTTTAGTTTTTTTCTTTCTTTTAATCGAGTAAGAAATTAATTAATTTTTTTTCCCTTTAGAGCACTTCCAACAGTTTGTCCTTTGCCATGGCAAGGGGGGGCTAGGGCAGCTACTATTCACTAAAATAGTGGCTGCCCTTGCAAAAAGCTAAATGTGTTTCCACCAATTGCCATGACAAATGGCAAATACTATTCATTTTTTTATTGTTTTCACAAATTTTTTTACCAAAACAATTAATTTGGATAATATTTTCGGATAAGATTTTTGGGTTCCTATGTGTCAATACTATTCATATCTCATAATCGGATAAAATTTTCGGATAAGATTTTCAGTTTTAAATTTCAGATAAATTTCAAAATTCAAATTACAGATAAATTTCAAAATTCAAATTTCAGATACATTTCAAAATTCAAAATTGAGATAAATTTCAAAATTCAGATAAGATTTTTACCCTCTAAAATTGCGCCACGTGTCATCTCTATTGGCCTAAATTTTTTTATAAAACCAGAGGCTCAGCTCATACATCTCACACCAGATCTTCTCTATATTTTCATTTCTCAAATTTTAGAATTCATACTTCATTCTCAATGGCAGACATGAACGAGGTTTTGGAGAAGCAAGAGCGAGAAACTAGAGAAAGAAGGCGTAGAAGAGCTGCAGGCAAAAGGATGCAGAGAGAACTAGATCAGCCAATTGTCATAGCAGTGGCTTTGCTTAATGAAGAAAATCAGAGCCCCCGTGGTTCACAAGAAGGCCGTGGCCCGAATGTGGACAGACATAAACATTCTCGAAGTAAGAATCTTCTGGAAGATTATTTTATCCCAATTTCTTTGTACTATAATGTTCATTTTCAAGTGTGATATAGAATGCAACCTCGTTTGTTCAATAAAGTCATGCATGATATTTGCAATTATGATGGATACTTTGTTAAAAAGAAAAGTGTTGCTGGAAATTTGGGACTTCTTCTCGAGAAAAAGTTCACAGTTGTTATACAAATATTAGCATATGGGTCATCTGCTAATCAGGTGGACGAGATTGTCCGGATGGGGAAGTCCACTGCTTTGGAGAGCTTGGTGAGATTTTGTGATGCAGTCGAAACTCTGTACACCAAGGACTACCTACATAGACCTACACTCAAGGACCTATAACGGCTTTTACAAAAAGCCGAAGCTCGAGGATTTCCAGGAATTTTTTTCCACATATAACAGAATTTCATCTCATTGCCCGAGACGGGACAATGACTAATTTGGACCCAACACTCACACAACAAAACATCTTCCATGATGCTCTATGCCCCTCCGGTTTCAATAGAAGAAGCCATAATATGATAGAGAAAAATAAAATTTGAAAGTGAAAAAAAAAATCAAGTAGAAAGTGAATAATAGTTGAATGAGAAGAAAATGTATGAGGATTTGGTGTTAAAAGTGAAGAGTATTGGTTGGTATTTATAGAAAAAAATTTAAAATTAATTTATGGGTTTTTTTAAAAAATATTTCAAAATATTTATATTTTTTTATTGCATAAATATTGGTTGTCGTTGGATTGGAGGACAAAAAGCAATCGGAGCACCCAGACGATGCCACGTGGCTGCTAGCCATTGGCGGAAATTGTGCGAGCGCGTGCAATTTTTTTTAACATTGGCGTGTGCAATGCATGAGCCAATGGTAAAAAAAATCTGAACTCCAGGGTTGACGCCAGCCTGGCATCAGCGATGACATCAGCCCAAAACTTGGTCTCGCGCGTGGGTTGAACTCCACCTTAGGCCAGCCTAGTCTCGCCGCCCCCCCCCTCCTACCTAGGGTAGCCTTTGTTGCTGGAAACACTTTTTGGACCCTAACCCCCCCTCCCCGCAGCCCGAACCCAGCCTTAGCTGCTGGAAATGCTCTTACTATTGAAAATGGAGTGTAAGTTAGGAAATTAAGTATAAAGAAAGAGAAATAATATAAAAGTGAAGTAAAAAAGAAATTAATGTAAGGTACGGGAAAGAGAATGAATAAAATTGATTAAAAAGTATTTAAAAGCAAAAGAAAATGTAAGTGAAAAAAAGGGGAGTGTGAAAATCAGCTTTTTTTTTTTTGGGGGAGAGAACTTTGTGACTATGACTCATAAAGATGTTGCAATAGGCCTGAATTTGGTCTTGGGGTGCCATTTGTTTGAGACGGCTCCTGTTGATCTAGGCCGACATCTAAACTCGAATTTAGGCCCATCGTCCCTAACCGACTTAACTCGGAGTTCTCCCAACTCACTGTTTAATTACCGATTTATTCAATATCGGCTGCCTTTCTTCTAACTGAGAAAAATCCTTAACGGTTTCTTTCACAGAACCAGACGCCATGGTGTTCATCACATCCCCCAACCACAAAACCCTAACCCTAAATCTAAACCCGAAGACCACCACCCTCCAAACCCTAAAGCTCCAAATCGAACAAAAATCCCAGATACCCATCTCAGAGCAGCGCCTATTCATCTCTCAAAGCCTCCAAATACTGACCCAAACCGGATCCACCCTCCTCTCCGACCTCGGCATCAGACCCCTCTCAACCCTGACCCTCCACATCCCCTTGTTCGGCGGCACCCAACCGCCCAACGTCCCCAAACCCCGCCTCGAGTTCCTCAACTCCAAGCCTCCCCCAAATTATGTCGCTGGGCTCGGCCGTGGTGCCACTGGGTTCACCACACGATCCGATATCGGGCCCGCCCGGGCCGCCCCCGACCTGCCCGATAGGTCGGCCACGACAATCGGTGGCGCTGCTGCTGCTGCTGCCCCGCCCGGGGTTGGCCGCGGTCGTGGGAAGCCTGAGGAAGAGGAAGAAGATGAAGGAGAGGATTGAGGGTATGATGAGAATCAGAAGTTTGATGAATTCGAAGGGAATGATGTTGGGTTGTTTGCATCGGCTGAGTACGATGATGAGGATAAGGAGGCCGATGCGGTTTGGGAAGCTATTGATACGAGAATGGACTCGAGGAGAAAAGACCGGAGAGAAGCTCGGTTGAAAGAAGAGATTGAGAAGTACAGAGCTTCGAACCCGAAGATCACGGAGCAGTTTGCAAATTTGAAGAGAAAGTTGTACACCGTGTCTGCTCAGGAATGGGAGAGCATACCCGAAATTGGAGACTATTCATTGAGGAACAAGAAGAAGAGATTCGAGAGCTTTGTGCCGGTGCCCGATACGCTTTTAGAGAAGGCGAGACAGGAGAAGGAGCATGTTACGGCTTTGGACCCCAAGAGTCGGGCAGCTAGTGGTACGGAGACGCCATGGTCCCAAACTCCGGTTACAGATTTGACCGCCGTAGGTGAGGGTAGAGGTACTGTGTTGTCATTGAAATTAGATAGGCTTTCTGATTCTGTTTCTGGGCTGACGGTTGTGGACCCAAAAGGGTACCTTACTGATCTTAAGAGTATGAAGATTACTAGTGATGCTGAGATTTCTGATATTAAAAAGGCCAGATTGTTGCTCAAGAGTGTAACACAGACGAATCCGAAGCACCCACCTGGTTGGATTGCGGCTGCAAGGCTAGAGGAGGTGGCTGGGAAGATTCAAGCAGCCAGGCAGTTGATTCAGAAAGGGTGTGAGGAGTGTCCCAAGAGTGAGGATGTGTGGTTAGAGGCGTGTAGGCTTGCTAACCCGGATGAAGCTAAGGCTGTGATTGCCAAGGGTGTCAAGACGATACCCAATTCGGTGAAGTTGTGGATGCAGGCTGCAAAACTAGAGCATGACGATTTGAATAGGAGCAGAGTGTTGAGGAAAGGGTTGGAACACATTCCTGATTCTGTTAGGCTGTGGAAGGCGGTTGTGGAGCTGGCAAATGAGGAAGATGCAAGACTTCTGCTTCACAGGGCCGTGGAGTGTTGCCCCTTGCACATTGAATTGTGGCTTGCACTTGCAAGATTGGAAACTTATGATAATGCTAAGAAGGTCCTCAATAAGGCAAGAGAAAAGCTATCAAAGGAGCCAGCCATTTGGATCACTGCGGCCAAGTTAGAAGAAGCTAACGGAAATACGTCCATGGTTGGGAAGATTATTGAAAGAGGTATAAGGGCCTTGCAAAGGGAAGGATTAGCAATTGATAGAGAAGCGTGGATGAGGGAGGCTGAAGCTGCTGAGCGTGCAGGGTCTGTTGCAACATGCCAAGCAATCATTCGGAACACAATTGGGATTGGTGTGGAGGAAGAGGATAGAAAGCGCACATGGGTTGCTGATGCAGAGGAATGCAAGAAAAGGGGTTCGATTGAGACAGCCAGAGCTATTTATGCTCACGCACTTACTGTGTTCTTAACCAAGAAGAGCATATGGCTCAAAGCTGCACAACTTGAAAAGAGCCATGGGACTCGGGAATCTCTTGATGCTTTGCTTCGTAAAGCGGTGACATATCGACCACAAGCTGAAGTCTTGTGGCTTATGGGAGCTAAGGAGAAGTGGCTTGCTGGGGATGTGCCTGCTGCCCGTGCCATCCTCCAAGAAGCTTATGCTGCTATACCCAATTCTGAAGAAATTTGGCTTGCTGCATTTAAACTTGAATTCGAGAACAATGAACCTGAGAGAGCTAGAATGCTTCTTGCCAAAGCCCGAGAAAGGGGAGGCACGGAAAAAGTTTGGATGAAATCAGCAATTGTTGAGAGAGAGTTGGGGAACCTTGATGAGGAGAGGAAGTTACTTGATGAGGGATTGAAGCGGTACGCTAGCTTCTTTAAATTGTGGTTGATGCTTGGACAACTAGAGGAACGGCTTGGTCATTTGGAAAAAGCCAAGGAGGCTTATGACTCAGGTCTGAAGCACTGCTCCAATTCTATTCCACTCTGGCTTTCTCGTGCTAATCTGGAAGAGAAGATGGTTGGGCTGAGTAAAGCTCGTGCAGTTCTCACGATGGGCAGGAAGAAGAATCCTCAGAATCCTGAATTGTGGCTTGCTGCTGTTCGAGCTGAATTGAGGCATGGTAATAAGAAGGAAGCTGATATTTTGATGGCAAAGGCTTTGCAGGAGTGTCCCAATAGTGGTATCTTGTGGGCTGCATCTATTGAGATGGTACCCCGTCCCCAACGGAAGACCAAGAGTATGGATGCCCTCAAGAAATGTGATCATGATCCCCATGTCATTGCTGCTGTGGCTAAGTTATTTTGGCATGATAGGAAGGTTGACAAAGCTAGGAATTGGCTAAACAGGGCAGTGACACTTGCTCCAGATATTGGGGATTTCTGGGCTTTATACTACAAATTTGAACTTCAACATGGGACTGAGGAGAACCAAAAGGATGTACTGAAAAGGTGTGAAGCGGCAGAACCAAAGCATGGTGAAAAGTGGCAACCTATTTCAAAGGCTGTGGAGAACTCTCACCAATCAATTGAAGCTATCTTGAAGAAAGTGGTGGTTGCTCTTGGGAAGGAAGAGAGTGCAGCCGAAAATAATAAACACTAGTTCTGGCTTGTTTTTTCCAGGTTATGTTTGGAAAACGTTGTAGTACAGAAAGAAAATCGATGTCTAGTGTCACTTGTCATCCGGTTGGCAAACGTTGCTATAATTCTAGCTTTGCTCATTTGATATATTTCCTGGCTGATGAAGCATGGCTTAATTGATTGTTCGAATTATGATGGTATATCTTGACATATAAATTTTCATCTGTGTTCTTGTGCGTTTTCCTTTTGGATTTTACAGACTTCCTTGTGGATTAGTTTGATTCATATCTGACTGCATTTAGTTATGACAATTGCCCTTCTTTATGATTTCCCTTTTGCAATTTTCTGCAGTTCCGCTATTTGGTCATCTATCTTCAAGCATCCTCTGAGCATAGAAACAGCTTATTGCTTGCCTGCTTGGACTTGAACACTATGTTACTGTGCCTTATTCTTTTATCCTAAGATGCAACCGGTACTTCTCGATTTCCTACTTGAGTTTTGTATGTGAATTGACAAAATTATTTATGCGAATGTTTTTCTCATATTGCTTGACCCTGAATTCAGCAGTAAAATCGATGGCAACATATAGTTTTTCATTTTTTCCTTTTTTAGACTACTGTCATGTGAGGCTCTGTAATCTATAGTTATGGAAACAAAATGTTGACATGTCCATGAACTGGGCTTCTTCAATTTAAAGGGGAAATGAGACTATTTGGCTTACTCTTTGTTACATAGCCATCCAAGTCTATTACTTTTCTGTCATGTTATATGCATTTTCTTTTATATCCTGTCATTTTTCTGCCTGGTTTGTGGTTTCAGTTTATGGTAGGGGATTCCTAGGTGATAGGGATTTCTCTAAAATTTAGGCCCAAGGGCTCATAGAGATAGGAGAGATTAAGGATGGGGGAACTAGGGCATTTAGTTGTGTTTTCTTTTAATTTGTGTTCAAGTGCCAGGGATTAGGTTTTATATGTAGTAGTTTGATCCATTATTTAATGGCCACTGAAAACATTGGCGTGGTTATGCATTATCTGGTCCACTGAATATATTTGAATCAACTCTCAGCTTATTGAGCTGTAGGCTTTTATTGAATTCGTTTTTATCTACAAGCTCTTGAACTCATAGGATTCTCCGTGATCTTTCCTTCCAAGAACAAAGACAGTCTTCTATAAGCTAATGAAGTCTGGTAAGCTGGCTTGTATTCTGTTGGGATTTTGTGATGTGCTGGTGCTTTCTGTTGGCTTATATTAAATGCAGTTTGTTGTATTATGCCCTTTGTCCTTTCTTTGTTTATGCATGTAGAAGGGGTTGCCTCGGTGGTCCGGTTGTCTTTGTAATCTAGGCTCAATCTCAAAGTCACTAAATTTTGTATCCTTGCATGTATCTGGTGGTGCATTGCTACACTCAAGATTGACAATACTAGGGTACATGGTCGTGCCCATAATGTTCATGTACTGGGCATTCAATATCGAAACTTTTAAGGGATTGGTCTTTCGGCAACCCTTTAAAGGTGATGGGCAAAATAATGCCTTCAGAAACCAAAGTAGAGAGGGTGTGTGAAAACCAAGCCAACTCTCGATCCTAAACCAGGGGCATTCTCCCATCACGCGGGTCATCTTCTCGACGTTGATTATGGAGTTACCATTGCTGGTGGTGACACAGTTATCGACTTCATTTCTGAAGACTGCACTGTTGCTTCAACCTCAATGTCTGGGAAATTCAAGTGGACCAACTATATATTTTCCTTTTGGTATCACAATGGTTTGTTCTGCCTAGTAGAAAAGCCTAAACCGACCATCACCTACAGAGAGTATGTAACGCAGGCTCCAACAAAGGGCATCGATCCAGTGACATGATAAAGTTCATCCATCGGATCCCATTAAGTCATACCAACAGAAGAATAAGATAATTAGCTCGCCCCTAAGTGGAAACATAATTAACTAACATAATTTCAGGATTTTACGGGCCAATTAGTGTCTAAGCGAAGGCTAGCAGCACCAAAAAGTAGAAACATTGACCTTCAAGCTTAGAAATGGAGAAATGTTTTTAACGGTAAACACCACATGGTATGCCGATGCGGTATTACGAATTCTGTGTACGTTCCAACAGAATGAAAGACCGCATGTAAACTCGTATTCTAACAATGAGAACATTCAAAATCTAGAAACTTTATAAGACGAAAGAGAACGGAGAACGAATTAGCAGTTGAACTTGCTAGAATTGATAATCAATGATGTATCCGTAGATGCAAATCTAGAGAATTGATGGAGCATGATGTAGCTTAGCTTAGCACCCCTTTAATTAGAATGGATTAGCATAAAGTTTTGATTAGATACACATGACTCTGCAACACCCCTAAACAAGAACATAAGTGACAGCCTTCTAGGCTCTAGCTATTATAACAGATAAGCACAAAGGATAACTACCCCTACAACTTACAACATGAACAAATTCATCTATTCATCCCAGCCATCATTGTTACAAAACCATTGAATATGACAAGGAAGCTCACCCCCAAAGCATGCTCGGAACCTTCGAGCTCCTGTGAACCCTCATCTAAAAGAGGTAAAGAGCAATCGAGCACGACGCTTCCAGAATTTGATTTGAACTCTCAACCAATAGCCGATTTGTCAAAACCGTTTCTCGAACTAAATTATATCACTGAACTACCATTTCCTTTGGGTTTGAACTTTGAAGAGGCGTATCATAATTCAAGCTTCTTGCAACTTCAAAGAAATGTCTGACAGCTTCTTCAGGTGTCCGTACAAGAACACCATGCCCTAGGTTGAGAATGTGTCCCATGGGCCCTGCAAACCTCACCACCCTGAATGTATTGAGTTAGTTTCAGAATTATACACAGCTGAGAATTGAAAATAAATCACAACAAAATCAAAGCCATAAATTCCTTTGTCAGTCCATATAGAATAGAGTAGAAGTTGGCAATCATTTGAGAATTTTTTCATTTGAACGAAAATATGAGCCAGTAAATTTTTGGGGTAAGGACTAAATCTCAACCAATTAACAAGTGCTAAGCTGGGATTTTTCTTTTGGATGGGGCCAATCGCCACGGGCTTAATATCGTCCAACTTTTAGTTCCACACAGAAGTCCACGCTAAAAAAGATTTTGGCGATTGCCTACAACTGAATGAATCAATGGTCATATTGCAGGCCAAGTTTTGAATAAAACTAGCGACAGGGGAGTTCGAAGATGTTTCCATAACAAACCTTTGAATCTCTTCAGTCACAAAAAATATAATCTGAGATTGCCAGGCCTGGCTCTGACTTTTGGGTAGCCCTAGGCGATAAATTAATAATGAGGCCCCTTCTTTAGTATACAATAAAGCTTGATACAAAAGGAAATAGAAATTGCTCATTCATTCTTTTTTGTTTAAACATAATAATTTCATTCTAACAAAACAAAAGTACATGAATCATAAAAAACAAAAATTATATTTAGGTCCATACATAGTTATATAGCTTCTAACATTCAACGAAACAACCTAAGGTCATCCCCAATGGTTGGGGCTCTAAAAAAGGTTTATAGAGCCTCATTTAGAGCTCCAATGAAATCTTTGGGAATCTAAAGGAATCACTCTCATAATGAGAGGTTCTATATTCATGGCGGGCTCTATATTTTTTTATGATGTAAT